TTCTTCAGCCGAGCTGGTGAGGATGGATGTGACGAACGGGGGGGGGGAAATAAAAGCGGCCTCCCCTTCCTCCTGCCCCGCCAGCACGGAGAGAACTGCGTTCCTATGGGGAGAGCTCTGCGGATGGGGAGAGCTCTGCGGGCAGCAGCCCCCCTCCCCAACAGCCCCCACCCCGTGCTGTTGTCTGCGGGTGCAGAGAGAGCAGCAGAGCTCTCAGCCTAAGGGGGGAACGCTGGGCTGCTGTGGGGGAGCTGGGCGTGGAGGAACGGCGTGTGGTCCGGGCAGCCACCAGCCATGTTGTGTGTGTGTGTGTGTTGTGTGTGTGTGTTGTGTGTGTGTGGTTCTGAAGTGAAACGGTGAAGTTGGTGAAACCAACCTGAGCTGGAGGTCAGCCATAGCACGGTCCTGTCCTGTGTGAAAAGGCTGCTGGTGTGGGAACGAGGCACGCTGCTGCGTTGGGAAGTTGCCTCGTTAACTGCTTTACCTTCTGCACAACAAGTGGTTGGATATCTGGAAATGAATCCCGAGGAGTGCGTGAGTTCGTGGGGCAGCTGGGCTGTCCTGTTGGTGTGCAGCCCTCTGCCCCCACCCCGAGCTGCCACCGCCGAGCTCAGTGCGCTGGCCCTTATATAACAGATGGGAGCGAGCGTTTGGTGTTTGCCAGTGAAAGAGAATCGCTGTGAATTAGGGCAGGAGGCCTCCGTGGGGATGGCGGGGAGAGGCCTTCTCTGTGTTGGGGTGGGTTTGGCAGCTGGGGCTTGCTGGAGATCTGTTGGGTTTTGCTGTAATTTGGTGCGCTGTGGGTAGGAGCGTTGGTCAGGGGTGGTTTTAATGCTGCTGTGGGGCCTCTGGGAGGGTTGGAGGGTCACAGTGATGATTGAACCTGAGCGTGCTGCTGGGTTGGTGGCAGCTTCTTGCTGGTGTGCAGCTGGGGGAGCCCTGAGTTGTTGTTGGGATCATCCTGCTGTTGCAGGGTGGGATTGCAGCTCCTGGTCACCAGCTTACAAACCTGTAAGGCCTTATAAATGAGTATAAATGGGTTCTGTAGTCCTCTGCAAATACAGCTGCTGCTCTGCTCTATGCCTGCACCAAACCAACCGGGGTGCAGTTGGTGTTGGTTTGCAGGGGAGGATGTTTGTCTGTCCGGCAGCATCTCGGGAAGCTCTGAATGGAGCTCTGTGTCGCTGCAGCGTGGCTCGTGTTTGGTTTTCTTGTTGCTGCACTCTTCACAAGAGTGAGTGGAGAGGAGGAAGTTGGCAGTTGCAGTTCAGCAGGTTTCCGAATTCTGCTCTGAGTGCCTTCCTGCGCCGGTGCAGCGCCAGGCTTTGTGTCTCCTCTTGCTTTGTATTCTGCTTCTGAGCTCCTGTGCAGCCCGAGTGTTGTCAAAACTGCTAATCTGAGAGTGACTCAGCGGATCAATGGGAACTGCACGAGGCTGGTGCTGGTGGACAATCAGTATTTCCCCCCACCCCCTCTGGGCTGGAGGAGATGATGTCTGAGAGCAGCATGCCAGTAAACACGTTTCCTGGGCTCGGGCTGTCTGTACCCTCCCCTTCCCCTGGTGCTTTCCTGTGCTGCTGTGGTGAGGAGAAGTGCTGTGCTGGGAGCAGCAGTGCTGTTCTGTGGCTGCTCCATCCCCGTGTGTGTGCAGCCTGTGCTCTGGCAGCAGCAGAGCTGCTGACAGCCCCAGCCTTTGTGTGGCCAGGAGGCTGAGTACCTGCACGGCTGGGTTTTGAACACCAAAGCCTCAGGATGATGGCACCTTGTGCTGCCAAATCCTCAGCCCATTGCCCTGCTGAGGTGGGGGGGGGAGGGAGGTTGAGCTTGCTACAGGCATCCCTTGTGTGCGGGGAGCAGCGCCTTGTGTGCTTATAAATAGTGGGATTTCTAATTTATCTGTTTATTTTTTTAATTAGAATGGATCCTTGTGCTTCCTGCTGGCAGTCAGTGTCTCCTGGAGGGCTGTGGCAGTGGAGCAGGCACAAGGCTGAGCGGTGAGGAAGGCAGAGAGGTGACTTCTGGAGCAGCTGCACGCTGAGCATTGGGGCTTTTGTGGTCTCCTATCACCGTGCTGGCTGCCCTCCATCTCCTGGCGATCCCCTGAAATCCCTGCTCCAGCTTTGGCGCTTCCTGTTGCACAGAAACTGGGTTAAAACAAAGTACTGCAGCACACAGCTCTGACAGAGGCACTCAGGATCCCTTTGCTGTGCTGCTGGGTGCCCCTTTGGGGTACACAACCTGACTCTGCCCTTCCATGTCTTGTGGTTGGCCTGATGTGTTCAGAACCATCAGTTTTCTCCCCAAACCTCTCACGGGTTCTGACATCATCGTTCTGCTGTGGGGGAGAGAGGTGAAGCAGTGAATGGGAAACCACAGGGCTGGCTGCTTCCGTGCACTGTGGTGAGATGCTGCAAGCAGCTCGGGGAGCTCAGCGAGGGTCGGTGCTCCCATGCTCTGTGATTTAGGGAATGCTTCTCCATCCAGGTAAACATCAGCCTGCAGGCAGAGCTTCACATGGGTGGGTCGAGAGGTGCGTGACCCACAGCCGTAAGGGTTTGTTCCCAGGGAGAGCACTGACCAGAAGGTGTCCCGTGGCCCTTTGTTGTTTAATGTGATGTAATATTTTTTAATGAAGGAGGCCTGGCTTTTGCTTTCCAAATGGCAAACGAGATGCTTGGCAGGTGATGCGCAGGCTTTGCCTTCCTAAGAGGGTTGTTCTTAAGTTAATTAACAGGGGCTAGCGTTGGTCTTGAACTTGAATTCTGTGAAGCTTTCCTTGGCAGGAGCATGGTTCTGTGCTGCTCTGTTCTTGCAGACCTCATCAGTGCCTGACGTCCTCCACTAGGAAATCACTGCTTTTTGCTGTTGGGTCTGTGCTGACGTATAAATGACAACATGAGACCCTTTTTCTTCTCCATTTTTGACACGGGCTGTTGGAGGTGATGAAATTGGTTCTCTCCCTGCCTGAATTCCCAGCTCAAAGTGGGAAAGGAATGGGGCTTTCCAGCCCATTCTGTGCTCTCCTGGAATACACCCACCCCCAGCTATGTTGGTTCCTCTTATCCCAGTGGTTTTGCTCACAGCCTCCACCTGTGTTCCCCAGCGCAGACACCACAAAGGATGCTGCTTGGAGCAGTGCTGAAGGCTGAGCTGCAGCCTGGGGGGCACCTGCTGTTCCCCTTGGGTCTGCTCTAACATCTCTAGTGCAGGTCTTGAAATAACCAGAGGATGCACTGCAGTGGGGTGACAGCAGACACCTGGAGCAGGGAACAGATCCCAGATGCTGACAGCTCCTGGGACAGGAGTGCAGCTCTGGGTGCTTTGCTCCTATTTCTGCTCAGAGCCAGAAATCAAAGTCCAGAGCAATGCTTCTCCAGCCTGAAATCGTTTAAAGGCACTTGCTGGTGTTTTAGGGCCAATATTTAACTTGTTCCTGCAATGAGGAATGCCTGCTGGACTCCAAATATTTGCCTTAAGGAAGAAGTTTGAGAGAAGAACATCCATGAAGGGGGGGGGGGGAGTAGGGGGATTGCAGGAAATGCTTTGGTCTCTGTGCATACAGGTCTATGAGGGCCCCATGTTGCCCCGTGGGCCCGAGCAGCAGCACAGGGAGGAAATGTCTGTGCAGCTGGGTGTGTCTGTCCCACTGCCAGGGGTTAAGGCTCAGGTTTGGGGCCTCTTCCAACAGGGGGAGCCGGGCTGGAGCGCGTGTCGACTTCCTGATGAAAAAATCCCATCAGAAAAGAAACGCTGTGCTGCTTTTGCTTTTGCTTCAGCCTTTGGTGGCTGTGAAATGCTCCACAGCAGTCCTGTGAATGGCAGCTTTCCCGTGCCCTGGACCTGCTTATGGCTTCTCCTCACTCACCTCGGTGCGATCCCTCTCGATTTGTGCCACTGCCTGGCCCATGGTGAGCCCCTGCCAGCGGTGCTGGCGTCCTGGAGGTGGGTTGGTGAGGACGTGCTGCTGGGGGGAACCCGCTGCTCTTTGCCCAGCTCTGACTGTGCAGCCAGGCTGAGTTCCCAGTTCCAGCTCTGGCACTGAAATCTGCTCTGCCTCAGTTGCACATCGAGCCTCTGCTGTGTGCGCTCTGCGCTCCTGTTGGATTCTTGACTATTTAATTGAGTTGTGCTTAGATAAAAAATAGCTCGTGTGCTCCTGAGCATGGCTGGCGTGGCTGTGAATGTGATGGGGAAGTGAAGGCTTTTGTCAGAGCCCCGTCCAGCACAGGGGAGCCGGGCTCAGGAGGCTGTTAAGGAAGATGGACATTGGCTCATTCCCTTTTGCAGACACCTGGCACTGTCTGTGGAGGTACCTGAGCTGAGTCTGTGCAGTCTGAGCTGCACAGCCTGCAGCCCATCCATAGCCATGAAGGGCCCTGGGGAGATTCATGCCACCCCTGAGGCTGCAGTGGGTACCCAGTAGCACTGTGCCATTGCTGTAACAAAGGCACTGATGGAGTTAGGCCCATGGATGATGGGCTGTGTAATGAATGAGGAAGCCAGGGCAGTGGTGTGCTGCCTGCGGGGACTGGGAGAGGTGACAGGAACTAGAAACAAAAGGTTTGGGTTTCAGATAGAAGTGTGTGCTAGGGAAGGTTGAGCGTGTGTTGGCTGGGCTTTCTGGGACAGCTCACAGAAGTGAAAGCCCAGAAATGAGGGAGAAGGGACAGTTTGTACATGCAAGTAATGTTCCAGATATTAATAGCAGCAGCATGGAGCGGGTCCTCACGGGGGTGTCTCCTGCACGTTCCTCTGACACTACAGATCATCCCTTTGTGTGGAGCCCGGAAAAGCAGGTCTTGTGCAGGTAAGGGAAAGGCAGGAAGCAGCAAGGTTGCGCCACAGCTCCTGTCTGAGAGGTGGCTGGCTTTTGGGTGAACCCCTTGAGAAGTCTCCATGTGTACACACTGACCTGTAGCAGCTCTGGGGCTGCCTCTCCATCTGCAGCCCTTGCAGTGCTCCTGCTTTGGTGCTGTCCTGATCTCGTGGGGAGATCTGAGGTGTGTCTGTGTTGTATTGCTTTGCTTCCCCACTTGTGAAAACAGCAGGTCACCTGTGTACCTCCAAGAGAGGATGCAAGGAAGGACTGAGCTGCTCAGCCTTGTGATAGAGGGGGTGGGAGGAGAAATGCCTCACGGATCACTCGTTGCTTCTCCGAAGACGCTGCTGACGCTGGTGTGTAAGCAGATGGATGTTGCCGTGCCACAGCACGTCCCTCTGCCCCACTTACTCTGCAGGGAGGATTAATTGCACGGTGCCTCCTTGCTGCTCCTTCCACCCAGTGGGGGGGCCCTGGGTCCTGCTGGTGGCCCTGGAAGCTGTCCCTGTGTAAGGCAGGGCGGCAGTGAGCCCGTGCAGCTCGCTTCTAAAAGGGAAACAGTGCTGCCATCCCACTGCAGGGAGTCTGATGGCTCAGGGGAGAGATTTCCCTGTGAACCCCTCTGGAAGCTTGCCCTTCCACCCTTCTCCTTCCCCCTCCCAATTCTGAAGATTTGGCAGCAATTTGGGAAATGTGTGAGGCTTCGGGCAGCCTGAGGGAGAGAGCATGGGGGAGAAGCAGTGCTTGTTGGAATGTGGGACAGCCCTGCTTGGCAGTGCTGCAGCTCCACAGCCCAGAAATGGAAGCAGCCTCATCACTGGTGGGAGCAGCACCCCCTGGTCCCCCACCTCCAGGTCTCTCTGCTGGGACACAGCAGAGCTGCTTCAGTCACTGATGGTGTCCCCTGCTTTTGTGTAAGCATAAGGGAGTTGAAATGAGCTGTATTTTGGTGATGGAAGTGATTGCTTGTTCCCTTTCTCCCCATCTCGCATCACAGGAGGCCACCCCAGATCTGCCGGTACAGCTGCTTCCTAACCTGGTTCTGTCAAAAGGATATGGGTTAAGGGGAAAAAAAAGAAAAGCTCCTACTATTAAAAGTGTTTATGCCAGCCCAGATCCTGCTGACAGCAGAGGGTTTGGTGGTGATACGCATGACGTGAGGCCAGGCAGATCTGTGTGCAGTGACAGCCCCCAGATGGGCCGGGGGAAGCCTGCTGCCACGCATCTCCTGGTGGCACTGCACAAACCAGCAGGCATTGCACAGAGCCTGGGCCTGTGCTTGGGATTTGTGGGGCTGGAGCACTCTGGGTGTGCTTCCTTGTGGTAGAATATGAACTCCTGGTTTCCCCTCCCTGCTGCAGGGCTCAGAGTGCCCCAATCCTAGTGTGTGAGTGAGCAGTTCCCTGGGGGCCTGCTCCATGCCTGCTGCCCTGTGGTGCAGAGCCCTTCCCCAGCCTCAGCTCCGTGCTGTTCCCAGAGGGACCAGTGCCTTTGGCCACATTGCTGAGCCCCCCTGTGCTCTGAGCTGTTTGTAGGATGGGGAGCACAGCCTGCCCTCCATCTCCACGTGCTGGGGCTGTTCTCCCACTTGTGAAGCAGCGTTCTGTATGATGGTGGGCAGTTGTGCCTCAGTTCCCTCTTCTGTAGCAGCACTTCCTCACTGAAGTACCTCGAGCTGCAGAGAGTGTAAGAACCAAAGGGCATTTACCCTTTACATCAGCCGTCTGGAAAACCCCTGGAGCTTGCAGTTGGGAGCAGCAGGAAGACACACCATTGAATGCTGCTGCTTGGGCTCGTGCCCAGTGTGCTGGGAGGTGTGTCCTGGCTGTTGGGAGGGAGGAAATCTCCTCCAGGTGGACAGGAGGTTCTGAGCCTGTCCCCTAGCTTGGGCCCGGGGGAGGGAAGGAAGGAGCCACATGCATCCAGGAGTTCCCTTTGTTATAGGATAAGGGTTGGGAAGTGTTTCTGTCCCTTTGCAGACCAGATGTGGAGCCCCTTGTCCTCGCTGCAGCTGATCCCTCTGTGCTGGGAAGAAGCACATATGGGGCTTGAGGCTGCGGGGTGTCTGAGGTGCGTGGGGTTGGGGTTGTTGCTCTCACATCCTTGTTTGTTTTCCATATTCAGCCTCCAGCGGTTGCATAAACGGGAGCAAACTGAAGGGTTACATCAGTGCTGCTTGCAGCAGCGTGGGGAGAAGTGATGGCATGAAGTTAGGAGAGCCTGCCTTGCAGAGCAGCAGGATGAGCTCCCGTCTCCCTGCAGTTACAGACTCGGAGGTCTTCAGGAGCCTCATCCATCTGAATGAAATCCTCACACTAACTTTGAACTGCACGTGCGCATTTAGAACTGCGTGTTTGGAGGAAGAAGGGGAAAAACCCAACTTTTCTGAAGCCATGCAAAGCAGCCCCATTGCCAGGCTGGGAAGCAAGCCCACAGCTGTGGGGTGGGAAGCAGGCGCTCACTTGTCAAAACATCTGCTCCAATGAGGTGCACTGATGGCACTGACAGCAGAGCAAAGTCCTCGGGTGCCCCAAAGCCTGTTGCTGGGCAGGTCTGCAGCCTCTGCTGGGCGTCAGTCTGGGCTGCTGCTGCTGTGGAGCAGAAGTGCCGCACTTCTGTGGTTGCAGAGGAGGAGGGGAGAAAGCCTTCCTCTCTTCTGGCTGCCTGGGAAACCGACGGCAGCTCTTAGCTTGCATCCATTCCTGTCCGTGATGCGTGCTAAGATCCCTCGTGGAGAGAACGGTGAGCAAGTGCTTTATGCTGCTTTTAGAAGTGTTAGCTTTTGAGGACATGGGAGTATTCAGGGACAGGGCTGGGGAAGCAGCGTGCTGGCGGAGATGGTCTTAACCTTATTGCAGGCTGCAGCGACGCAGGGGAGGCGTTCCGGCCTCAGAAGTGAGCTGTGAAATGGAAGTGGCTGTTCCACTCTGCTGGTGAGGATCACCCATTGGTGTGGAAACCTCCATGTCACTGCTGCAGGCTGTGAGCCCAGGGCTGGGCAGGAAGGTGAAATGGGAGGAGCTGGCCTGGCTCAGAAGCCCAGTATGAGGGTGGAATGCTTTGCTGCCCTGCTCCCAGAGCACAGCACGGATACTGGCCCTGACAGCGTGATGGTTGGTCGTGGTGGTGGAGAATCGTGAGCGCAGGCAGCAGGAAGTGTGGCTGAGCTCTTGCTGTGGCTTCTCCCCACAGCTGAGGCAGAAGTGGCAATAAAAGATCTGTGTCTGGTGGCAGAGGTTGAAATACAGAACAGGGCCGTCCTCCCTGAGCGTGTCTGAGGCGCTGTGCCTGGCAGCTGCTGAGGCAGCAGCTCCTTGGGCTTCTCCACTTCCCAAAGTAACAATGGAACTTGTTGATTTGGGATGCAGGCAGTCTCAGGAGCTTGTTCAGCACAGAGTTACCAGGCTTGAAAGCAAACCTTGGGCATCGCATTGGGTGAACTGCAGCACTGGGAGAGCTCAGATCGGATCTGGCTGGGATGTGTGCTCTGAATCTTGCTTGGCTTGGCCATGCAGCTCAGAGTGCTCTCACGGGACTGGTGTGCAGGTTTGTGCTGGCCAGCTGCTGCGTGTTCCTGGAAGGCAGCTGGTTCCTTTGCAGCTCTGCCTCCCAGCAGCAGCGTGGACTTAATTAGGATCTGGTGTCCAAGCAGAGCTCGTTGTGCTGTGGATGCTTTGTTGGGCTTCAATAGAAAACCTGCTGGCTGAGCTGCAGGAGGCGGTGTTTTTTTGTGCGGGGGGCTCGAGGCTGAGACCACTTGTTCAAGTCACTGCTGGGGCTGTGAAGGGCCCCACTGAACACTGCTGTGCAGAGCAGGAGCCCAGAGGGCATCATCAGCACCGTGTCTGGGCTGCATGCAGTGTCCCTAGGGAACAGCAGAGGTGCTGGGAGCTGGGCTGTGGCTGATGCTGTCCTTCTCAGGTCTCCGACGTAGAGGCTCTGCTTTGTCTGTCAGGAACTTCCTTTCTCCTACTACTACTGTGTCTGCATGAGTAAAACCGAAACCACTTCAGCGTCCTAATTGGCCTCTTTGTGTTGAACTGCTGAGATGTGATGGATTCTGCAGAGTTACGGCCCCGTGTTACTTCATGCAGGGACAGAGCCTGCATCTTTCCCATTGCTCACAAGGATTACTGCTCCTGTTACCTCCAGCATCCTGCTTACAGTGGCAGCAAAGAGACTGCCCAACAGGTGCACAGGAGCACCAGGTCCTATGCACTGGGACTGGAGCTGGGTCTTCTGTTCATCATTCAGTTTCCCACCCTGGAGCAGAGCCTCTGCTGGCCCAGCAGCTGCTGATGGTCTTGGGGAGCAGCAATGAGCAGATGGGAGGTGCTGGTGGCATCCTGCAGCAGGGCTGGGAGGGGAAGGAGTGCTGGTACCCAGCTCCTCCCTGCCCTACAGCCTGCTGCATCCAACCCCATGCTGGTTTGGTACCCAGCTCCTTCCTGCCCCAGGATCTGCTGCTCCTGACCCCACACTGGTTTGGCATTGCTGCTCTTCCCATGCACTGCGGATCCATCCCAGTGGCTGTGCTGCAGAAAGCCTTGAGTTGGGCACAGTCACTTCTCACACTGGGGTGAACACAGGCACAGAGTGCTTCTTACAGGCAGCATGCAGCCAACCACAGGACTGTTTCCATTCGGGTCTCTCTGATAGAGCATCAGTGTTTTCTTTCTGGTAGGTTTAATGAGTCTGTAGTTGGAAGTTTGAGCTTGTGGCTGCTGAGCCCAAGCATTGAGTGCTCTCTAGGGTGCTCAGTTCTCAGATGGGATGTGCAGTGTTTGATCCTCTTCAGTCTCGTTTTTAGACCTGGTCTTATTTTAGCATCTGTATATTTACTGTTATTATTACTGTATTTCCTAGGGCTGTATTTTTAGCCTTTTCCTTGGTTCCCGTGCTGCTGCTGAAATCCCAGCCGTGGCATTTCCTGCTCCGTGGTAAAAATCCTGCTAATATTTTCCATCCAGGTGTGATGGCATTGGATGGGGATGCAAGGAGAAGCAGAGCTCTGCGTTTGGCTGCGGATGCATTGCTCAGCAGAGATGCTGAGTGGGGCCACCTCGTCCCTCCCCACCATCACTGGGATCTCAGGAGCAGCTGAGATTGTGCTTTTCCAGCAGCCTGATGGTTTTGAATGTGTCAGCTTGTAACCTCTAAAGATCTGAATGAAATCATGCGTGACTCATTATTGGTTTTGCATGGTGAGAGCTCGGTGGAGCTGAGCATTTGTCAGGCCACCGAGCTGTGAAGCAGAGCTCTGTCAATAGCAAATGTTCTCTGTTGAGTGATGTATGGAGATCTGTGAAAGAGCTGCAGGAGTGGTTGGAAGCTGGGAGAAAATAACTTGGAAGGATGGGAAGTTGGAGGTGAAGAGTGCCCTGAGTGCAGCGTGTGATGTGTGCTGGGAAGGGAGCACATCAGTGGATGGGAGAGCTGGAAGGGGAAGGCGGGCACTGCAGGGCAGGAAGAAAAACCCATCATTTTCAGGAAGAAAAACCCATCATTTTCACAGCAACCTTCAGATTGGGGGGAGGGATGGGGAGTAAAGACAACAAATGCTTTCTTCATGTGTGGAATGATGGCGTGGTTTGGGTTGGAGGGGACCCTAAAGATCACCCAGTGCCCCCCGAGGGCTGGCTGCCCCTCCAGGCATGGGGCTCCTATGGGACAGCACCCTGCCACCCTCTGGGAGAGACCTTCATCCTCTTATCTAATCCAAATCTCCCTTTCTTTAGTCCAAAACCATTCCTCCTTTTTATTTATTTCCTTTTCTAATCCCAGCGTTTTCATTTTCGTGGCTCAGGGCCGCAAAGGGACGCAGGGCAGCACAGAGCAGGGAGCCAGGAAGGGAGGGGAGGTTTGGAACAAGGATGCTCAGATCATGTTGGATTAAAAGCTTTGCTTTCCCAGTTTAGGGTTTTGTTGGGGTTTTTTGTTGTGTTTTTTTCCCTCAGGACTGGTCTGCTGGAGCAGGCAGGCTGTCAGCCCTGTGGGATGTGCCCACATCGCTGCTGTGAAGCTGTGAGCCCTCCAGTCCCAGCCCTGGAGCTGAGCTGTGTGCTGCCCTAAACAGCCCCACATTGCAGTGAGGGGTTTAATGGGAGCTTCCTGTTGTGCCGACACCAACGTGAGTGTGCAAAGGAGGAAGCAGTGAGCAGAGCTCGGAGATCTCAGCCATAGTGAGGAGGGCTGGGCACCATCTCCACTTCACAGGGCTGGGAGGAGATGTTCTGTGGCAGCAGAAACCCCGGAGTGCTGCGCCTTGCTGGGAAGGCAGCTGCTTCCAGGACTTCCTTTTCTTGTGGGATTCACCCCAAAAAGCCCTCAGCTCTGCTGCTCCCCTTCTGACAGGGGAGCAGTGGGTGCAGCAGCTGACAGCCCATGCTGATCTGAGCCTTGCACTCAAGTGCTGCTCCTGCTGTCCTGCAGGAGGTGCTGCCTTTGGGCTCAGACAATTTGGGATGGGACATTCAATCCCCAGAAGATGAGGAACACTTGGATTATTCGTACATCTTGGAAGCCCCACTGGATTTCCCTCCTATTGTAGCTGCATGGATGGGGCTTTTCTCAGAGCTCTCAGCTGCCTGAGGAGCCCAAGGGAGGAGCTCCAACCCTGATCCATACCCAAAGAGCACAGGGTGCTGCAGGCAGCTGCTGGGCTGTTCTCTGGGGCAGGATCTGTGCTCTGAGCAGTGCGGTGCTGAGGGCTTTTCTTCCTTTTATGCTCTCAGAAGCTTCTCTTTCTCTTTCATCTGCATGCAGCTGCATTTCCCTATTCTGCAGTGTTGGGCATCCATCCTGCAGGCAGGTGGGGACCAAACGCTGTGTGCCAGGAGCAGCAGCAATAGCAGGGTGCAGCCTGTCCCAGGCAGCGACCTCGGGCTCCTTCCTCTCCGTTCCCCTCTTTTATTCTTCTCTTGTGACCTCTTTGGGCTGGGAATGGCATCTGTGCCTGGAGGGCCCGGAACAATGTGCCCCAGATGGCACTGTACGAACCACGAGGTTTCACTGCATGGGAAAGAACTTCATAAACACACCTTTCCAGCCTTTCAGTCCTGCACCCGTGGTCAGGAGCCTCTGAACGTGGGTATTTCAGCCCAGGCTGCAAACTCCAGGGCAGATAAGGAAACCCAGCAGAGAACAGCAGCTCTGTGTGGCCCCGTTGGGGCTCTCATTGTTTCTGTAGTTCCGTTCTATCGGGCTGCTGCTCACTTGCATTTTGGTCTGCAGTGCATTTTGGTTTTGCTTCCTGGAGTCGGAGCTCTTCACATTGCTACAGGGGAGCTCTGGTTTGGTTTAAGACCACATCAAGGAGCAGAGAGTGAGCAGGATGTGACGTGCTGGCTGTGTGTGCTCAGGCTGGGGGGGGGAGCAAAGCATGGGGGGGCTCCCCTCTGAGCATCACCCACTGCCCTTCCTGCCCCACACCCAGGGGGCAGCTCAGTGTCCCCAAAGCCTCGCTGTTCACTGCTTCTCCCCATAGGTTTGATGCCATGGCAGCGTGGCACAGTGAGGAGGGTGGGAGCAGCTGAAGCTTTGGGGTGTTCTTGCAGGATGCTCCGGAGATGGCAGCTGAAAGCCTGCAGGAATGGAGCCCATAAGGCCTCACTGCTCAGCCTCACACACTGCAGCCCTCCTGCAGGCACTGTGCTCCAAAATGAGGTGTGCTGTTGGATGGGAGCAGGGCAGCCCTGCAGCTCCTGGGCTGCCTGAAAGTGCTCTCAGACCCTCCCTCATCCCCCCCTCCTCCCCGTGCATCCTTTAGCACAAGAAGCCTTTTTTATTATTATTAATAGCTATTGCAAGCCAGTAAAAAGTTTTATGGGCTTTGGCTGAGCGTCAGGGCTTGCAGTGTGCTCATTTCCTGCAGTCTGAGTGCTGGAGGGGGCTGGGTTTGCTTGGTTAACCCACGGTAGCAGAGCTGAGGACTGACAGTAGTGCAACAGGAGCTGGAGGGGAGCAGAGAGGACTGCAGCCACTGCTCCGGGAGCAAAAACCCATCTGTGGTGGCTGTGTGAGCCTGGCTGTCTGTCTGTCCCTCTCCTCTGCCCCCGTACTGATGTTTGTATCGTCGTATGGTGAGCAGAGGGGCACTTTGTGCCCTGGGCTGCTGTCCATCCCACCCAGACCTCTCTCCTAGGAGCTGACATCTGTGCCACAGCACGCTGGGGCCTCACATCCACTTGCATGGCACAAAGCAAAGGTGCACAGCCATCAGCTGCTCTGCACCTGGTCCTGACCCACAGGGATCCTCCCACCCACCTCCTCCAGGGCCGGCATCCTCATTTTGCTTCGTAGGAAGCTGCACACCCACTGTGCTTTGCCCCATAGCAGCACTATGCTGTGTGCCCTGCTCCATAGGACTCAGCTCTGTGCCCCATAGCAGCCCTATGCTGTGTGCCCTGCTCCATAGGACTCAGCTCTGAGCCCCATAGCAGCACTATGCTGGGTCCTCTGCTCTGTGGGGCTCAGCTCTATGCCCCATAGCAGCACTATGCTGTGTGCTCTGCTCTGTGGGGCTCAGCTCTGTGCCCCATAGCAGCACTATGCTGGGTGCCCTGCTCCATAGGGCTCAACTCTATGCCCCATAGCAGCCCTATGCTGTGTCTCTGCTCCGTGGTGCTCAGCCCCTTCTGCCATCCACCCTCCATGGGTACACTGTCCTCCCCACTGCCTTCTGGCTCTCACTGCACAACTTCCCTCCCCACTTAGGCCTTCACTTAGGGCAGCAGTTTCAGCTCTGCTCTCCCCACAGCAGCACCACCCCTTTGCCACCCCCACGGGGCAGGGCGGTGGGCGCACAGCTCCATGTTGCACTGACTCTCCTTTCTCCCATCCCTCCGCAGCTCGCCGGGCGCTGGGAGGACCCTCTCTGCAGGATGTTCTCTCCACCAAAGATCTCCTCGTGACCGGTGACGATGACCATCCCGGCAGCACCTCGGGAAGCACCAACGTTGCAGTAGCCCGGCTCGTCCCCCCGCCGCACACCGGGATGCTGCACTGACCGAGGGCAGCCCCGCTTCTTTTCTCCTCTCCCCCTCAACTTTCAGCAGCTCTGGGATTTGTATGGCAGCAGCGTAACCGTGGAGAGGCCGGGGTATCACAAACTTATGGATTTTGATAAGAGAGGAGGGAAAGGGGAGCTGGAGGAAGGTAAAAGGATGTCCAAGACGGGTGGAGGAAGGAGCAGCCATGGAAGTCGGAGCGCCGGAACCAACTCGGGAGTCTTAATGGTGGGTCCCAACTTCCGCGTCGGAAAGAAGATCGGATGCGGCAATTTCGGGGAGCTCCGCCTAGGTGAGAAGGGCCTTCTGCTCCTCTGTCCTCGCTGTGCCTCGTGCTGCTGTGCCCTCCTGCAGCACAGCACTGTGTGGGCAGCCCCTGACCCCGCGGGGTTCTGTTTCTCAGCGCTTCTTCTCCCAAATGTTTGGGGCTGAAGGCTCCGCTGCAGCGCTTCGTCCCTCTCTCCCCGTTCCCATCCCTTTGGGGTCATTGTGGGAAGCGTCCTTCTCTCCCAAGGATCCTAGGCTCCATCAGAAGTGGGGTGGCCAGCAGGGATTGTCCCTCTTTATTCTGCCCTCGTGAGGCCCCGTCTGCAGTACTGCGTCCAAGTCTGGGGCCCCCAGCACAAGAAGGACATGGAGCTGTTGGAGGGGGTCCAGAGGGGAGCCACAGAGATGGGCAGAGGGCTGCAGCAGCTCCCCTGTGAAGACAGGCTGAGGGAGCTGGGCTTGTTCAGCGTGGAGAAGAGAAGGCTGCGGGGTGAATCATTGCAGCCTTCAGTACCTAAAGGGAGCCTACAAACAGGAGGGGAGTCAGCTCTTTGAAAGGGTTGATAACAGCAGGACGAGGGGAAATGGTTTGAAATTGAGGGAGGGAAGATTGAGGTTGGATGTCAGGGGGAAGTTCTTTACTGTGAGAGTGCTGAAGTGCTGGAACAGCTGCCCAGAGAGGCTGTGGATGCCCCGTCCATCCCTGGAGGTGTTCAAGGCCAGGTTGGATGGAGCTTTGGGCAGCCTGGGCTGCTATGAAATGTGGAGGTTGGTGGCCCTGCATGTGGCAGGGGGTTGGAGATTCATGATCCTTGAGGTCCCTTCCAACCTGGGCCATTCTGTGTTTCTGTGACCCCACGTGACCCTGGAAGGTTCTCAGTGGGATTTCACCTCCCCCGTGGGCATCGGGGGCAGGGGAGGCCTGCAGTCCCAGCAGGGCTGTGCCAGCACACAGCTGAAGCCTGCAGGAGTTCAGTCTGTGCCAGGTGAAGCAGGCTGTGAGCTTTGGGGCAGGGCTGGTGCTGTAGGAGAAAGGAAGAGAGGCCGGGTCGTGGTGCAGGAGCTGAGCAGGCTGCACTCTCCCAGGTGTCCCCTGGGCACAAAGTGTCCCCAAGCCACTGCTGCTTCCTGCCTGCACCCTGTGCCAGCCAGGCTGCCCCAAAGCTGCACCTTAGAGGCAGCAAACGTGTGCAAATTTGTATTTTCTTGTGATGTTTTGGTGATTGCTTACCTTTCCCCACCCCAGTGCTTCTGCATGCCCTGTGCCTGGAGGTGTTCAAGGCCAGGTTGGATGGGGCCCTGGGCAGCCTGGTCCAGCATTAGGTGGGAAGGTTGGTGCCCCTGTATGTGGCAGGGGTTGGAGATTCATGATCCTTGAGGTCCCTTCCAACCCTGGCCATTCTGTGATTCTGTGATTCTGTTTCCAGCAGCAGAATGGAAGCGTGGTGACTTTCTTCTTTCCAAGTTAACTTCCATCTTTCAACTTTTCTTTCTAAAGTTAAAAACAGCTCTTTGGAGGGGGCAGGAAGACAGGAGTGGGTCCTCACAGCCCACGGCTGCGGTGTGACAAACCCTGAGCTCATGGGTTTTATTTTTTCCTCTTGGATGGTATTAAAAGCAATGGTCTGCTCTGAGGGAGCAGCACAGCGATGGTGGGCACTCAGAGCTTGCGGTGCCTGAGCTGCCCTCACTGTGCAGCCATGATGTGTGGGAGCAGCTGCCCGATCCCACTGCTTGGTTTGGAGGCAGCGCTGTGCTGATGGGGCAAAGGGCCTTCTGCAAAGGCAAATATTTGCTCTCTGCCACCCGTTTTGCTGCTTAGATTTCAGTTTTCTGCTTCGCAACCACCTCTGCTTCCATGCAGCCCTGCAGCAGTGAGGTCCCACCTGGGCACAATGCCTCTTAGGTGTTAAAATGGCCATAATTTGGACAAATCTGGGGCTGTGCAGGAGCCAACCTCGCTGTGGGGGCAGGCCTGGCTGAGCAGCCCCAGCCCTCCTTCCATTCTCCTTCCCTTTTCCCCTCCTGCAGCTTTTTGTTCACTCCCTCTACCTTTGCACCCCGTGTTTGGCAGGTTGGGGGCCAGCAGGTCGCAGTGATGCTGGTGGTCTCCCTGCCCCCACGTTACAGGGGGGGTGGTGAACCATGGGGGTATCAGAGGAGTGCAGCCCATCGCTGGGGCTGGCACTCAGATTCAGTGTCCATCTGGCCGGGCTGCAGCCCCCCCTGCATTTCTTCTCTCCTTCTTATCCCCCATCCTCCCAGCACTGTGGTGCCCTGGCTGTAACCAAACCACAGCAGGCTCTGACTTTCCCTTGCTGTCCCACAGAGGCACCGTGTGCTGGGGAGCTCCCAGCACGGGATGGGGCAGCAGCTCCAGCCCTCTCCATTCCCTTCATATCCCCCATTCATCCCCTCCCCATAACCCTGCTCAGCAGCTGGCTCTGCTGTCACCCAGCGAGGATTTATTGCTGCTTCAGGTGGCTTGGGATGAAATCTCGTGGCAGGAGGAGCAGATTGCTTGGAGGAAACCCCAAACAGATGCAGCTCCACTGGGCAGAGTGCAGCGCCTGTGTGCTCACCGTGCTGCAGGAGGGGCCCTCTGTGTGGGGGCAGAGCTGGGGCAGCACAGGGAGGGTCCTGGGGGGCTGCTGTGCTGAGCTGTGTGCGCACTGCAGCTCAGCCTTTAGGAGCTATGGGTGGGAAGATCCTCCTGTGGGTGTGGGGGGGGTGGGGAGGCCCGCTCACTGGCAATGCCTTTTGTTGGTGTTTCCCTGCAGGAAAGAATCTCTACACCAACGAATACGTAGCGATCAAATTGGTGAGTCCTCCTGCAGTGCGGGGCGGGGGGGTGACCTCAGGGCCTCCCCCCCCCCCCCCCCAGCAGCACTGAGCACCGCTTCCCTCCTCGCAGGAGCCCATCAAATCTCGGGCCCCACAGCTGCACCTGGAATACCGCTTCTACAAGCAGCTCGGCAATGCAGGTACGGCCCAGGGATCCCCAGCTGTGTGATGCAGCACTGCCAGGAGCTGCAGGGGCTGCTCCCCCCCCCATCAGTGCACACGTTGACCTCCCTCTCTCCTCCCCCCCCGCCCCCCACCCCCCCTTTTTCTCTCTCGCAGAAGGAATTCCTCAGGTTTATTACTTCGGCCCCTGCGGGAAGTACAACGCCATGGTGCTGGAGCTGCTGGGCCCCAGCCTGGAGGATCTCTTTGATCTGTGCGACCGCACCTTCACCCTCAAAACCGTCCTGATGATCGCCATCCAGCTGGTGAGGGGAGGGCAGGAGGGGCGGCGGGGCTGGGGGGGAAGGGGGGGGCAGGCAGCCCACCTCACTGACCCCCCCCCCCCCTGCCCTTCAGATCACACGGATGGAATACGTCCACACCAAAAGCCTCATCTACAGAGACGTCAAACCGGAGAACTTCCTGGTGGGGCGGCCGGGCAGCAAACGGCAGCACACCATCCACATCATTGATTTCGGCCTGGCCAAAGAGTACATCGACCCCGAGACCAAAAAACACATCCCCTACAGAGAGCACAAGAGCCTGACGGGGACGGCGCGATACATGAGCATCAACACCCACCTTGGGAAGGGTACGGGGGGGGGGCTGTGGGGCTGTATGGGCTGGGGGGTGCTAAGAGGGGATTTGGGGAGGAAGTGCTCACCACTGCTTGTGTCTCCGCTCAGAACAAAGCCGCAGGGACGACCTGGAAGCGTTAGGCCATATGTTTATGTACTTCCTCCGTGGGAGCCTTCCCTGGCAGGGCCTGAAGGTAAAGGGCTGGGGGCTGCTCGGAACCCTGCCTGCGCTGTGCCACCCCTGCGGGTGTCCCCCCGTGTTATGGGGACATCCCAGCTGCCCCCAATGCTCCCCCTGCCTCCCCCTGACCCCGCTTGCCCCTGCCAGGCGGACACACTAAAGGAGAGGTATCAGAAGATCGGTGACACCAAGCGAGCCACGCCGGTGGAGGTGCTGTGTGAGAACTTCCCAGGTGAGGGCGCTCAGTGTGGCCCCAGCCCGGCCCCCCACCTCCACCCCCACCCAAACTGAGCCCCCCCTGTCCCCGCAGAGGAGATGGCCACGTACCTGCGCTACGTGCGGCGCTTGGACTTCTTTGAGAAGCCAGACTACGATTACCTGCGAAAGCTCTTCACAGATCTGTTTGAGAGGAATGGTTTTGTGTTCGACTACGAATACGACTGGGCTGGGAAACCACTGGTGAGTGGGGAGGGGGCAGCTCTGAGCCAGGCTGTTGTGTTACAGCTGTTACACGGCAGTCTGAGGCTCCCCCTTGTGCCAGGGGATCAGCACCCCGACGTGGGCTGGGGGCTGCTTTGTGTGGTGGCACGGCTGACGTTGTGCTCCTTGTATCCCCAGCCCACCCCCATCGGCACGATGCACAGCGAGGTGCAGGTGCAGCCCCCGAGCAGAGACAAAGCACAGCCACACACCAAACACCAGGTGAGCAGCAGCATGGCCTTCCCCAGCTCCTCCTGCTCCCCACAGCCCTGGTGCTGGGGGCTGCATCCTGGTGGCTGACTGGTCGCTGTGGGTGGGAGGGAGCAGCTGGGGCTGCCTGCGGGCTGCAGTGCTGATGGATGGCGGCGCGGTGCAGTGCTGGGGGTGATGACCGGTGCGATTTGCTGATCTGGTTGTGGTCACTTGTCGGTGGGGCAGAGCTGGCATGAGGAGGGGCCGCTCCGGAGTGCGGCCCCATGCTGGGTGTGTGGGGCAGTGCTGGGGGACCGCGGAGCTGTGCAGGAGATGAGCGACCCTCGGCCCCGTCCTGGTGGCTGCGCTGCCCCTCGTGCCTTCAGCTGGGGCTCGAGGGGGAGCAGGGCTGTGTGGGTGCCTGAGCACTGCCTGCCCTTCGGGGAGCGCTGTCCCTCTGAGGCTGAGGAATGAGGGCTGAGGAGCGCAGCGTTCCATCCACGTCCCTTCTCGAGGCCGCAGCACTCCTCCCCGGGGACGCCAGGACCCCGTTGTGTGCTGCAGGTGGGATGGGGCAGAGGCACCGCGTGGCTCCAGCCCTCCCCAGGTTCCCCCTCAAAGACCCCACAGCCCGGAGCCCCGCGCGCCTGGAGGGCTCAGAGCTGCGCCAGCGCCTCCCCCCGAGCTGCTCCGGCCACGGCTTTTGCTTTTGCATGTCTTATTTTCTCTACTCCTTCCTGCCGCTCCTCTCGCTCTCCCTCCCCCCCCCGCCCCGTTGTCCCCCACCTCTCCCTTCTCCCCCCCCCCATTCTTTTCCTCTTTTCTGTTCTTTTGTTTCTTTTCATCCTCTACCTCCCGCCTGCCGCGAGCAGCCGCCCGATGGGACGGAGCAGTGGGATGCTCACGCTGGCGGGCAGCCCGCCGAGGAGCCCGGGGGAGCTCGCCTGGCAGCCGGCAGGCTCGGGGGGTCCGTCCAGGTACACAAACCACGTGCTGAGGGCAGGGGGGGGCGCGGGGCAGAGCAGGCCGGCCGTGCTGTGCTGCCAGGACGCGGCTCTGACTGCGGGACGTTCCTCCATCGCTGGGATGGGGCGACAGCTTGGAGCCCTGCTTCTGTCCGCCCTTCCCCGGGCAGCCCTCGGCTCGGGGGGGGCACCGTGCTGGGGACCCCCGGGTCCCCCCTGGTTGCGCTGCGCCGTTCCCTCTGTCTGCGCTTCGTCCCGTCGCTGCTGCTCGGCCCCACTGCTCTGTGGGGTGGCAGTGGGTCGCTCGCCCTCCTGCTGCCCCTCATCCCCTGCCGGGTCGCTCCCCGCTCTTCCTCTGGGCGGGGGGGTGACAGCTTGGTGGTCCCACGGCACCGGGGCGGCCCGGCTTCACAGCGGGGCCTGCAGCACCGGGCCGCCTTTGCCGTGCTGAGGGAACCTCTGGTGCTGCAGGAGCCTTTGGGGGCTGAGCACCTCAGCACGGCCGTGTTGGGGCTCAGAACGGCGGTGAGAGCTGTTTGGGGATGGGGTGGGGTCTGTGGGGTGGCTGGGCAGGGCGCACAGCAACACAGGAGCAGCAATCTGCCATCCCAGCGAGGGGAGCCGGGACCTCCACGATGTGGGGCCGCCGCCTGCAGCTGCTGTGGGGCGAGGGATGAGGCCCTATGGGACGAACCCCCCCCCCCACGCCCCACAGGACGGCCCCACACTGACGTGTGCTTCCCTGCAGGTGATGAGCTCCACCAACGGAGAGCTGAACACAGATGACCCGACGGCGGGGCACTCAAACGCGCCCATCACAGCCCCCACCGAAGTGGAGGTGACCGACGATACAAAGTAAGGACACCCCCAGCCCCACACTGCACCCCACTCACCTGCCCCACAACCATCATACGGGGACAGTGTGAGCAGTGCCACGATGCTTGGTGTCACTGTCATCAGTGTCACCGTGGTGGTGCCCCATGCAGCGCACGCTGCAGCGCTGCCCGTCCCTCCAGTGCTGTGGGTCCGATCTGTGTGGGGCTCTCAGGGGTCGCTGTGCCCCAAACCCCACGAGGCCACTGTTCCCCTCACACTCAGGCACTGATGGTCCCTCCCTCCCCCTGTCCTTCTGTTCTTCCGTCCTTCTGTCCCTCCATCCCTTTGTCAATCTATCCCTCCATTCTTCTGTTCCTCTCTCCCTCCGTCCCTCTCTCCCTCCATCCCTCTCTCCCTCCATCCCTCCACCGTTCCTCTGTCCTTCTATTGTTTTGTTCCTCTGTCTGTCTGTCTCTCTGCCCCTCCATCCTCCTGTTCCTCCGTCCTTCCATCCCTACGTCCCTGTCCCTCCGTCTGCCCATCCTTCTGTCCCTCCATCCTTCTACCCCTCCATCCCTCCTCTGTCCCTCCATCTTTCTGTTCCTCCATCCCTCTCCGTCTCCGTCCTCCTGTCCCTCCATCCTTATGTCCCCGTGTCCCTGTCCCTCCACCCGCCCATCCTTCCGTCCCTCCATCCCCATCCGTCTGTCCACAGGTGCTGCTGTTTCTTCAAGAGGAGGAAGAGGAAAAGCACCAAACGCCATAAGTGAGCGCGGGTGGAGCAGCGGTGCGGGGCTCCCCTCCCTCCGGCCGTGCCGGACGGTGCCCGCAATGCCGTGGGGTGGGAGGACCCCGGCGCCCACGCGCAGCAGAGCGGGGCCTCCCCCCCGCCCGGCCCGGCCGCTCTCGTGTCCCCGCATCCGCCAAAAAAGAAAAAAAAAGGTATAAAAAAAAAAGAAAACCCCGAAGGGAGCGCAGCGCGGGGCCGCCCGTTGTGCCCGGCGGGACAGGAGCCGATCCTCACCGCGCTGCGCTGCGGAGCGAACCCTGGGATCTTTTTTTTTTTTTTTTTTTTTTTTTTTTTTTTTTTTTTTTTTTTTTTTTTTTTCTGTTGCTTCTTTGTCTCTTAAGTTAATTTAAAGTGAGTCTCAGTGCAGCGCGCCGAGTTGTCGGTCCGTCCTTCACCGCCATCCGCCGCGTCCCGCGATGCGCTCGGCGCGGCGCTGCGCCCCACGGCTGCGGGTCCCGGCGAGCAGCGGGGCTGAGCTCCGCAGCGCCGTGGGGCTTCGGACCCACATAAACGGTTAAACGGGGCACGGCGGGTCCCGGGGTGGCACTGATGGCGCTGCAGCCCCGCACGCACCGCGGTGACCCCGTGTTGGTGGGGGGGCAGAGCCCCGAGCGGTGCGCACGGACCCCCCCACCCCAAACCCCACCGAGCGACGCGCTGCTGTGTGCATCGATCACCGCACGGGGGGAGGGGGGGAGGAGGGGGGGGCACGCTTAGCTTTACCCGCACCCCGCTGCTCTGCCCCAAAGGGGTTGGACGGCACTGGGGCTCTGGGGAGGGGGGGGAGCGGGGGAACATCTGTGGCTGCTTCGGAGCATTGTTCAAACCATCCCGGTGGGGGGGGGAGCGGTGGGGACGCCCCGATGGGGACCGCAGACCCCCCCCCCCCCCCCCCTCCCCATCCCCGCCCCCCCCCGCAGTGCTCACTGCTTCCAAGCGAGGTGTACAGAACCGGCGTTGCCATCTCTGATGCTTCTCTGGGGGCGCGGGGCTCCTTTCCCTCTCGGGTTTGGTTTGGTTTTTTTTTTTTTTGTTGTTGTTGTTGTTTTGTTTT